CGGCAAACGAAATTTAGAAACTCCCGCAATATATTTTATATTATAAAATTTCCGGCCACTTTAAAACTACGCCAGAAGTCAATTAACAATAGAATTTTGTGCACTGATATGTTGAACTACTCCTTATTCCCCCTAATTTTTATTCGCACTGATATCGCATCTCAAATTTTCGTATATCGCATAAAAATGCGTTTTAAATCGCATGAGTCTGGACACTCTACTAGACACTGATTTTATGTGATTTTATGCGGTGACAGAATCCAAATTATGTGCGATTGTGTGGCAAACTTAGTCAAATTATGTGCAATTATCAAAAAATTTTCGCGACCTTGCTCGTTATATCCGATAAAAAAATGAAATCAGATTTCAACTAACACGTTAAAATTTATAACTTATATAGTGTGTTTCAATAATTAGTTCAATAAATATATTTGTTTTTTAAAAACTTTCAATATTGCATTTAGAGCATCAGTTGAATTACAAAGTACAATAACTTAAATAATAATAGAACATTGTAAAACACGAAAAAAAAAACTAAACACAATAAATATCTACACAAAATGTCAATATTAATTCTTAATTAACCAAAATGCATGGATAATACCGACAAGTATTATATCCACCCATCGAATAATACTTGTTATCGAGTTCAATTAATTATAATTCAAGGATTAACCTCATCGAATTTTTGAAAAACAGTGTGCATGAGTGTTTCAGATATACCAGGATTTTCCAATTCAGCATCCTCGAAAGCTTTTTTCAAGGCATCCAATGTGAGTTGGGACTTTTGGGATGGTGCATTCATACGCAACTAATTTATAAAACATGATAATGATAAGTAACTAAATTAACGTTAATGAATGTGTATCAAAATTAGAACGTTAACATACTTTGTCTATTGAAGGTACGATGACTTTATTGAAAACTGCTGGTCCAGTTACAGGTCCTACAGGTTCTTCAGTGTCATTTGAATAGATATCTTCGACCTTTGACATATCGACATGTTTGACTGTATCATAATCGGATCCACTAGACTTCATCGCCTAATTAAAACGAACCTATCAAAACTATTTAAAAAAGAAAAGTACATATTTGGTCTGGATAAATACAATATTTTACCATCGCATGTTTTCCTTTGGCCGGTCCAATCGTTGCATTGTCTTCTGAACCCTCACCATCATCATCCGATGAAGGAGAAATTGGCCTCGGAAATTCCCAAGCCGTATCATCCCCATCATCACCACTAAGTGTTCGAGTATTAATTAGCCAAAAAATTTTTTTAAAAAAAATAATAATAATAATACAGTAGTAATAATTTACCCGTTCTCAGAATGGTCTGATTCATCAGAATCTTGTTGACCACCTCCTTCTGCCAGCCACCTTTGATGTCGTTCAATTAACTCTGTTAAATATGATGTTTTCTTTGCATTCCTGACAAATTTGTGCTTAAGCAGTTCTTTTGCCGATGGTCGCTTATTATTTATAAATGTGCCAAGTTCATATAAATAAACATAATTATCGACATCAATGTCGTGTGGGATAATTATATAAAAATATTAATGCATCACGACATACTTTAGTAGGATCTTTTTCCAAGCATTGTGAAATGAATTCCTTGAATGATTTAGAATATACTCCATCCAAGCATGGTGGTGGATTTTTAGGGATAAGAAAAAGAACTTTCATCGGATGAAGATCCGAATAAGGAGGTTCACCTTTAGCAAGTTCGATAGCAGTTATCCCCAAAGACCAGATATCTGCCTAAAACAAAAATTTATTCATGGCAACAAATATCTACATGAATTATCCAAAATGTTTTTACTTACTTTAAAGTCATATCCTGATTGTTTAATGACTTCTGGCGCCATCCAAAACTATTATAACCGATAATTAAATACGAATTATCATTGATATTATTAAAATAAAAGCCTCGAACTAATATCTTACCGGTGTTCCAACAAAAGTATTCTTTTTCGTTATAGTTGCTGTAATCTACAATCAATATTCATAAATAAGTTGAACTATATGCTATAATAAACAAACCATATTGTCATAAAGATTAAATTATATAGACCTGTCCAGAAACACCAAAATCCGCCAGCTTCACTACAGTCAAAGGTAGGAGACATATAAAGTCATTACAATGAATAACAGAACGGACACGTTAATTATAACAGAGTGGAATTATCGCTTAAGTATATCCAAGTGATAAAATCAACATATACCATCGCCGGTGGAGCTTAGGAGAATATTTGCCGCTATAAATGATCACATCGTCATGTCAGCTAAAATATTCATTAATGACCTAAATAATCTTTGATAACAAAATTTCCAACATGGTAGCCTTTATAATTATTCCCAACCTTTTATATCTGAATTAAAAAAAAATTTTATAGCAATAACTGAATAAATAAATGTAAAGTAAGTTTTTATCAATAAAACTCATTCGATACTAACCTCTGTGAAGTTTGTGTTCAGCATGCAGATAGTCCAATCCTTTTAATAATTCTCGTAATATAATTGCTATGTATTCTTCTCTAAAAACACCAGGCTTCATCTTTAACAGAAAAAAATAATCAGAATCATAAAATAATAATCATCTAAAAAAAAAGCAACCATTATCTGCTTACTAAATCAGAACAAGACCCTCCTGAACAATATTCCATGACAATCCATAAATGGGACCCTTTAAGGTATGAACCATAATATCTAAATAATTTATACCAAAACATTTAATATATCAATTATTATATGAAAATAAGTCACAATAATATACTAGAACAATTTTAAAAGTGCTTACCTAGTCACATAATGCGAATCCAATTGTGAAAGAATAGCTATTTCTTGTTGAATATCTTCAATCTCATCTTCAGCATGTTCAAGATCTATGATCTTGATAGCTACAGGTATTTTAGTCCTCTTATCAAACCTGTTCACATAAAAAAAAAAACATTATTAAAGAATTTTGGCTAATAAAAATGAAAAAAAAAGAACCTGAAATTCACCCTTTAAATACTTCACCAAAAGATCCTTTGCCTGTTAATTGCGTATGCAATTAAAATAAAACGTAAATATAGATATTATTCATACTTGAAACATAAATATGATCAAAAATAATGTCTTATCCAGTAATCGGATAAGAATATTTTAAATAAAATTCTGATCAAAATACAATATTATAATAATAATAAACATAATAATAATAATCTTTCCTATTCTATCTTGTTTCACATAGTATTCTTCTGGATTCGCTTTGTTTGAAGAGCTCTTTTTAAGTACGCGAATAATAAGAAAATGAAACGGTTAGAAGTTCAATGATTTTTGAAATTACCACTAAAGAAAATGAAAAGATTAATATACCATCGTCAAAATTGTCGAATTATTGAAAGGTTCGAATTTGGTCTACAATAATAATATCAAACTACTACTAATTACCGCACTATTTTGGGCGGAACCCTCGGAAGAGACGTTTAGATTTGGTGAGTGGTATAAAGGTGATTCAGGGTTGTCTCACTTCGTTGAAACCGGTAATAATAATCGAATAGATTCCGGACAACACTTCGGGTAGTATAATCACGGGTTTGGATAATGCACTTTTAAACAATAATTCCAGTCATTCATGGAGAATTCAGGAAAGGATTTCTGGGGTGAAGCCCTTTATTTGCTTTACATATCCAAAAAGACATTGATATATGACTAAAAAGACAATTCCTTCCGACAAGGCCACATAAACCTTTTTGACCTTTCCCTCTTTAGGCCCTACTGAACCTTTCGGTTGTAAGTCCCGGGAAGTACGGCTACATAATGACGTGGCCGTCGATCACGTCTCTGGGTTCACACTATAAATTATTGAAAAATAGATTTGAAATTTAAATGCGCCAATTATTCTAAGCACATAGAATAAATCCTTAATTAGCTATAATTAACATACTGGATGCGAGCGAACCAAATAAAATAACTTTGTCTTCATAAAATCGATGCAACTCTCGTTTATAGTGCAATTCTTATGTTTACGAATTAAATTTTATAATTGGCCTCATTAGAAAAGCTTGCAAAGATTTTTATCTTTCGGTTTCGTGACGTTTAAAATTAAAACCTCTACATTTCTATTTTTAACCCAATTTATTACTGTATTACAATGAATATTCGTCAAGATGTCGACTAATAAATAACAATTAAGTACTATATTAATTAGATGTATGACTGGATACCCTTATGTCCAGCGAAATCGACTACCGTTCTACGTACTGTATGAGTAAAATCATTCTTACTTAAAATCGGGACTTAGTAAATTTTATGCATATAATTACGTTTTGCCATTGCTGTCATTACACAAATTTATTGGTTCCGGGCCTATTCTGAAGCTGGATCATAAGAGTCCTAGGTATGACCTGTTGCTTCGCTAACACTGTATCAGTCTAAATTTAGAAAATCTGCTCTTGAGTAAAAAAAACTGGTTTTTATCTGTTACACCGATCACGTTTCACAAAGCACTATAAATTTTAATGTACAGAAAAACGCCAGAAAATAAAAAACAAAATGTCTTCGCTTAACGACGTGTTGGAGCTAGCAGAAAGAATAGGATACATTACTGTAATTGTTTCTGAATTTTGTAGAGATATTAAATTAATATTAATGCGCCTATCATGATAATTCGTAGGAGCCAGCTCCGTTTTCAAAGAAAGTAACGACTTCTATACAATTTGTCGATTTATTGGATGAATTGCTTTCTCTTCGCGTTCAAAGCGAAAAGGTTCATTAATAAACATTAAAAATATACATCGAAAATTCTAAAGATCAAAAATCAATGAATACAAATTTTTGTAGATTAAAGAAATACTAACAAAACTCAAAGATTCCGAACAAAGTTTTGATTTGGTTAAAGAATCTGAAATTGGTTAGAATCGTTAATTCTCTTGAATCAATTATCACTGAGGGCCTGCTGCTAACTTAGTGTAATTTAGAAAGAAAAATTTCAACACTATCCGGTTTTAGTAAACACGTTGAATCTATCATGTCAAATAAACAAGTTCTTTTAATGAGACTTAAAGACCCTTTTGTTGGTGAACATATAAATCTTGAGCCAGAATACCACAAGTATTATTTTTTTTCCTCACGTGAATCATGAACAAAACCAAATTTCTAACATAATCTTTATTACAGAGATTTCTCGGAATTATTCCCGGCAATTACACAAAGTATTGCTTTGTTACCACATGATTTAAGGAATTTGGAGTGGTTCGGAAATAATACAGTTACCGACAAAATTATAGTATGTTATTAATGATATTTAAAAAAAGACATAATCGGAATAAGTGAATGTGACGCATTTTCCTGATTCTTTAGGATTCACAAATTGGGGAAATATCGTCCTTAATTGCAATGTACGGTAATTATTCCGACAGCCTAGATCGTGTTAGAAAAGTCTTGAAAGACATGCAAGACGTTTGTAAAGCAAAGGCAACTGTAGATAAATTTCAATTTTAAGTAATTAAAAATCTCGGTTTATTAGTAATAAAATTCAATGATTCTAATTATCGTCCGAAGTGGTGTTAATTAAAATACAATGATTCTAATTATCGTGTTAATTTCTGTCTGTTACTATTGGTTGCAGATACATCTAATCGAGATGCGACTGTACCAATTGAAAACAGATGGTTATGTATCACATAAAATCATTTTATTTGTGTAACCAAACTTGCAGCTACATTTCGCTAGAGGTTGTGGGAAGTGAAAAGAAGATATGTAATCATCATAGAGGATGTAATTATAGAGATTTGACTACACATACTGTAGCTCTATGAAAAATTATTGTATCTAATTACAAGTGTAGAAGATAATATAGTAATGAGTACGTCAACCTAAATTTAATCCACAATAACGTGAATACTGTATATATTTTTATTGTAAACCATGTCTAGTTCTTAACTGCTAATCAAATGAACAATAATTAAAAACATATAATTAAGACTCGGTACGTACGTACTATGTTTGTAAAAATTCGAAAGAAAAAGAAAATTTTTGACAATGGTATTACCACCAGTTCTAATTTAGTATATTCATTTGTGGAAATATTTATATCTGGATATTCACGGATATACTATTCGTAGTATACATCTTTGTCATGTCACAGTCACCATTGCTGATTGAAGGTCCAAAATTTCCATTCTTCAATTTTGAATTTTCATCAAATTCTTTCCATTTATCACAAAGATTCGTTATAAATAATCAACCAATATATTTATATGATTCTAATCCTACTGAGGATGAAGAATGCAATCTCGATAAATCGTTAAATAATGATGAACCGCTGGAGCACACTATCCGTACTGCTACAAGCGTTTGGGATGCTGTAATGCACTTCAATGTTTATTGCATTTCTTTAATTTGAAATATTTTGATACTAAAATAAAAATAAATAAAAAATATATAATAAAATATATAAATAATATAAAATCTCAGAGTTTAATTCTTGCAAAATTTCTTGAGAAACAATTTTATGAAAATAAAATCAACTTTAAAGAAAAAAATTTTATTGAACTCGTAAGCATTTAATTTTTTAACGGTAATCCTTGTTTGTAAAAAATTATCAATTTTTAACTATTGCTTTATAATTCTAATTTTTCTGAAGGGATCTGGTACATCAATTCCATCAATAACTTCTTCAATCCTAGATGCAAAACAAGTCACAATAACAGATGCACCAAGTGTGATTCCCCAAATAAAAAAAATAATTAAATTAAATGGTTTATTAAAAAAACCTTTAAATGTTGAACCTTTGGATTGGGTGAATGGGTAGATAATTAAACACAGACTTTATTTATTTATTACGTAATTTTATTCATTTTTACAAATCACGCGTTCTCCATTTCTAATTAGAAAAGAGCACCTAGAAACTTTGAAAAATAGTCGTTGGGATTATATCTTAGGATCAGATATAGTATGGGTTGATTACTTGATTAAGCCGTTAATTAAAGTTATTGATGGTAAAATAAAATGAATACGTCTTTATTTAAAAAAATCTACATATAACCAAACACTTTTCAATAATCATTTAATTTACTAGTTTTATCAACACCTTCTTATACCAAACTCTTAATCTCCCATCAATCACGTACTGTGAGATGTGACAATCTCTTTTTTAGTGGCTTAAAGAATTTAGGTTGGAATCTTGATAAAATCTCGCATGACGAGTTGAATTGGGAAGAAGGTTTCGTGAAAGATGGTGTGGAAATTTATTATGGACATAAAGAATAGAAATTCCTTTATAAACTTTGAATAAAATTATGTAGGTATTCAATGGACTTAAGTTATTTATTATATATATTACCAAAACTGATCAAATCTCTAAAGGTTGTACATTTATAAAAAAAAACATCTATTAAAATGAAAAAAAAATTAATGCTTTCCGGTGCGTGCATTATCATAATTCTGAATGAACCATTCAGCAGATTCTTTCACAGCTTTATTAACATAAATGGTAATGTCAGCGATATGTATTAATAATTACAAAAATTAAATTCTATAAAAAAAAATTTGGCATCTTACCAGTTTCAAATGGTGTAAATTTAAAATCAGGAATGTACTTTAATAGTTTTTCATTGCTGGCAGTCTTTTTGTACTGGCCATCAGCTTTACTAGTATCAAACTTTGAACAAATATCATTAATATATTGAAAATTATAAGGTGATAATTTCTTATATATAAACTTACAGAGTAACCTCCTTTAAAATCAACAGCATTTACAATTGCATCTGCAACATCTCTAATAGATACTTCATCCTTTTCGCCGACTAAAAATCAAAAAAAATGTCAGTCCCAAAAAAAATTAATTGTTACTACCTAATGTTGCATGATACTACCTGATAAAATAATAGGATCAACTTCATCATACTCCCTCAATACCCAAATAAACAATTTCGCAAGATCTCGCGAATAAATGAATTGGCGAAGGGGTTTACCACTGCCAGCAACTACAAATGGTGTTCCATTCTCTGAATGGTAAAATAAATATATATATATGAATATTCGTTTTATAATCTTATATAGTTCTTACAAACGATATTATACACACTCTTGGCGAGATAACATTTATGAATTAATCCTGGAATAACGTGCGAATCTTGCAAATCGTAATTATCGTGAGGGCCAAACACATTAGTTGGAATAACCGAAGTGAATTTATCACCAAATTGATCGTAATATGCTCTAAAAAAAAAAAAAAATTATAGGGTATATATATGAAACTTAGTAAATAATGTCTTATCTTTTACATACTTGTTTTGTGTGTCTATCAAACGTTTGGCGTACGCATAGCCAAAATTGGACTCGTGCGGAGGTCCATCGTGGATCATGGTTTCATCTATTGGGTAAGTTGTTTTGTCTGGGAAGATACAAGTAGATAGACATGATACAACTTTCTTAACCTAACGAAAAAAAACCGCAGTCATTCGCAAAATTTTCTGAAAATAACACGAAAAAAACCTTCATACAAACCTTATGTTCATGTGAAGTGTGCAATACGTTATCGTTGATCAATAAATTATCACGTAAAAAATCTAATTTATATTTCATATTTTTAAAGAGTCCTCCAACAAGGGCGGCCAAATGTATCACGTGAGTTGGCTTATATTTGTCAAAAATTGCGCGAGTAGCTTCAGTAGACCTGAATTAGATAAATGAACCATATAAAATCACTAGTTAGACGCCTTAAAATTAAATAATAAATAGTATTAATCTTAAAGCGAACATAGCTTTACCTCAAATCTCCATCTTTACTAGTAAGGAAAATCCATTTTTCATCTTCCATTTTACCGAACCTTCCTTTATCATTTTCAATTACCCATTCAATGGCTTTTCCAACGAGTCCAGAGCCACCGGTGACTAAAATTACTTTATCGTGAGACATCTCGTAAAGATCTATTTGCAAATGAAGATAGTTAAACTAAGATTTTTAACGCGGACCGTTTACGTTAATTCGTGATCAATTAGATTCTCACATGATATAACAGATAATTGTATGTGCGTACGTACGTACAACAGTTTAATTTGTATTACATTAAATGCACCATAGGACAAATTTTTAAAAATGTTCATTTAGGGAGAGCGTACATTTATGGAGGTAATTTTTACTGTTTCTATATACTTAGAATGCGGTCATTTAGAGAGAATTTACATTGTGGGTGCAGTTATAGAGGTTTTACTGTACGTATTTATATAATGATCCAGGGTCTTAAGAAAGCTATACCAGTGTATAAAATTGAACGTGCGCTTAAGATAATTGCGCACATAGATTTTTCCTTGGGCTGTGTAATTTACCGCCATCGTTGCCCCGGGTCTATGTCAAAATCTGAAATTTAATGTCGCGTCGTGTGATGTCGGGTTCCAATATTCAAACCCGCTTGCTAATCATAAGCGGGTTTGAATATTGGAACCGCAACACGACAATTAAGTTTCAGGAAGTAGTGACATATCGCTACGGCAGTAAAATTCACACAAATTTTAAAGTTACACATATGTCGTACGTCGGAATGGAATTATTGTAGATTTAGAATTCACCTAGGTTGATTCTGAATAAACAATAGAATTCTAAAATGTGCTCGAGTTGTTAAAGAATTCCAATTCAACTTACAACAATACTATGTGTATTCCAAATTATTTCAGTGAGTACGTTATTTGGAATTTAAATTACTTTAAAATAAAATTTATTCATAACACAGTGCATTGCAAATTATTGCGCTTTGCAAAAAAGATGCATTTATGTTGAAAAAAGAGAACTATAATTTATTGATATTTAATCAGCCAATCATATTTGATGAAGATCATCTGACATGATAGCCAATTAAAAAGAAGTTCTGTCATGCTCATGAGAGTGAAGTTTTATTTGCAAATTTTTACTTAGATGCCATAGCTTCATGACGGTCCAGACATTGGCGGTGACGGTTGATCCACTAACTTTGCTGAAGTTCCTCGCGACGGTCCAGACATTGGCGGTGAGACCTTCCCTTTGTATCTTTAGATACTTAGGAGACGTCATAGCTTCATGACGGTCCAGACATTGGCGGTGAAGTTATGAGTTAGTGGATATCCAAGTTATCTCTTGGTAGCCTCTTTGCTTAAGAGAAAAATTCTCCAAAAAACGTCAAAATACATTCAGTGTTTGGAACCTATGACCGAGCGGAGTTGCTTTGCTAAGTGAGATCTGGCAGTGTTAGAGTAACGCAATTACTAATAGATTTTTTTTCTGGCGAGTTTTTTAGATCTAGCGAATAAACGGTAAAACATAAGCGATTTTTTGTTTCTTGTTGGGTGGGTTTAGTGGTGTAGACGTATTCAAAAAATTACAACCCAGATTACGTCACGGCATGTAGTAATAGCCGTCGTATTATTGC